TTTGACAGTGTCCTCCACGAAATGAGGAGCTTCCCCTCCATCACGAAATGGGTAAGGTCGACAGGTACCTTGTCAACATTCCTCATCGCTCTTTGGAGCAGATAACGTTGGTGGCTTACGGCCCAAAATTTTCAAGTTTTCAACGTTCAATTCAACGTAGAATGATTAAGCCGGCAAACGTAATGCACAACCTCGCCCCCCCCGCCCAGGTCATTTATTTTTTGAACATCAAACAAAGGCCCATCCACAACAAAGCACGTACCTTGTAACCACAGTCTTTGGCGAGACAAAACGTGTCACATACCGCTTTTACGGTATGACCGCGATTCGTGTCCCGCGCTACATCTTCGTAAATGCTTTGGACGCCGATCTCTAATCGAGTACATCCGTACGATAGCATGTCTGACAGGTGACGGTTGACACAGTAATCTGGCCTCGTTTCTATCGTTATGCCGACGCACTTGATTTTGCTTCTCTCAGAGTAATGTACCGCCTCGGCGACGCTGGTGCTTCTGTGGCCTGAAAGGGCGTCGTGTAAGTTCCTGATGAAATAGTCCCTAAATTATACCACATAATGACACCAGTACACTGCATTATATTACTGATCCTTACATTTGTAAGGTGATGAATACCTTTAACATAAAAGTAAAACTTTAGTGAGGAAAACTTTTTGAAATATGCTGAGGCTCTATAATACAGGCTGGACTAGGCATTTTAACAAAAGGGAAAAAGTTGCAACTACATGCCGCAAAATCGACATCTAAACCAGCCACCATAACCCAAAAACAAGATGCAGGCATATGTGAGCACAATCAACCGAGAAAACAACGAAGACTCTGCCGTATCGGGACACAGCGTACTTAAGAACCAGGTCACTCAGAGAGATGTAAGCAAAATAACATAAAAAACGAACTTACAAAAGATGCTAGAAGCAATTAAAAACCATAAAATACAACGAACACACAAGTAAACAGATAGGAAGAAATCACACGATCTGCTCAGCCTGGCTACACTTGCAAATGAACTTTTTTGCCTCTGAAAATCTGGGGTTGCTAATTTTGTACTTTACTATTC